TTATCCAGAAGCAAACTCCTCCTCCTTCCAAAGAGCTATAGTGCAAACACTTGAAGGTTTCCTTGCCTCAAGTACCACACCACGTTGAAGGATACAACTTTTTGATCAAACTTCTTGATTAAAAAGGGGGTAGGTCAACTTTCTTACAAGTTGATCTTGCAAGTCCTATTGTTCGGATCTTGCAGTTGTTGAAGAAGCGTGACCTTCGAAGGAACAACAAAGCCAGCACGAGTGCAGTAGAAACATTGGTCTTGCGAAGATATACCGTGCAGAAATTCACACAAGTGTAATTGTTGGTTCATTATTCAACAACCAACTACATAGTGGATTTTGAGGACGTAGAAGGATTACCCCACCTTCGAACCTCGTTAAAGTTTGCGTGTCTCTCTCTTTTATCTTTACTCTAACTTGCAATTACATTAACTGTGAAAACTAACCCATCCATATTGATTACTGCTCACTCTACCCACCAAATTCCGCACACAATCTAAAGTTCTCAAGAACTCTAGATTAACACTTATTTTCACGTTTTTCAAAAGAAACGAAAAAGATTTTAAATTTGTAACAAAGTCTATTCACCCCCCCCCCCCCTCTAGACTTTGTATCTCACCACTTTGGGACCACCAAAAAGGATTGATTACAATATATAGAGACGAGGGGGTCGGGGAACACCCTAATTAACCTAATGGGCTCGGGCCCATACTGAAACCCTAAACAAGATTAACTATTGAATATTAAATGACTACTAATTAATAAATAATATAACTAATCTACCATCCGTATTACCCTCATTTTCAACAAACTTAAAGGGTAGCTCATCTTTTATGACCATAAATACTAATGCCTTCCTAACAAGTAACTGGTCAAATTTCCAATTCCTAATGTCTTTAACAGTTCCAGCCAAGCTTTGACAAAAGTTTGTGATTGTTTGGTTCTCTTCAACACACTTATTGTCAGGATGATTTTTACACACTTTTATGTGATTATTCATTCCAGTAGTACCATTTTTTGAGGAATCACAAGCATAATTTTTGGGACAATACTTACATTGAGCTCTTCGCTCTTTGTCTTTCGTAAAGTAGACAGTAAAGTGGCCCCAAGAAAGAGATCGCTTGCCCATGGATTTTCTTAAATCTGTTCAGCTACTCTCTGTACTTTGAAACCCATCTTGTGATTCTTGTCCATCACTTCCAAGTTCTCTGTTTTCCTCTAGGTTAGATTGACGTGTGAAAATTAAAAAAAATCCAAGAAACATAGATGAGTGAACAAACGGGGAAATGAACTGTGAACATCCTAATTTTGTACATGAAGTGTGAACAAATATACAAAAAACTGAAAAAAAAAACATAAATAAAAGAAAATTAGGGTAAGCAGATGCAACAAACCAAATAGGAAACTTTACCTTCTGACATTGTGAGTCGCCAGACAGAGGGGATGAAGATGGCCGCACGATCGATCGGATGAAGAAGGCAGCGCCGAAGAGCCGAAGATCTCCCTGCCGGCTGACTTTTGCAAAGAGTCGATGCTTAGTCCTTACTGCCGCCGGCTGATTTCATCACTTCCAACCAATTGATCGAAGAAACTTAGAAAAAGGAAACCTAGATTGAGACTTGAGACTTAATTTAGAAGTGGGCTGCATATCCACTTTTTAAAATTGGGCTGGATATTTGTAGTGGGTTGGGTAGAACTATACAATATATTTAAATTATTTCGGTATTCGGTTTTTACCAAAATACCGACACAAAAATTATTACCGAACCGAAAACCGAAATTTTAAAAAACTTAAAACCGAATATCGAATCAAATTATTTGGTTCGGTTTCGGTATGTACCAAAGTTTTCGGTTTCAGTACGGTTCGGTCGGTTTACCAAAATGTGCTCACCCCTGCTTACCACATCCTAAATTTTATCACCATATCACCTCCATTAGCAATCTAATTCGTATTATGAAGGATGCGCAATATGGTAAAAAACAAGTGGTATTATGAAGCAACCTAGTGCAGTATTTTCAATAATAGTTGTGTCCCAAAAATGAAACAGAAGATGTAAATAAAGATATTGTTAAAATGGGTAGTTGTCTCACTGATACATTGTACATATCGGGAAGAAGACTTTGAGCGTCTTCGGGCTCGTAGGGTAAAACCAAAGGGAAGAGAGGGAGAAGAAGGTGGCAGCGGCTGCCGTGCAAGAGAGGAAGAGAGGAGACGAGGGAGAGAGAGAATTTAGGGTTAGCCAGTTTTATTATTGCTTAAGTAAATAGAGAGAATACATCCCTATTTATAGAAGAACCCGAATACCTAAAACTACGTTTTTCTATCCTGACGGTTGAAGGAAAAGCGATGAGGTAAAGAAACCCTCGAAGGAGCTTATAATTTGCTCACCTAGGAAAATCTAAATTACAATAAAATAAGAGTAAATTCCCAAAATAGTCCTTTGTAATAAGGGATTTTCCCAAATTAGTCCTCAATAAGTTTTAATTACCTACGTGGTCCTCTATAATTGATATTTATTCCCAAAATAGTCCTTTGTAATAAAGTGTTTTCCCAAAATTCAGGAGTTATTCAAAATTAATGGATACATCAGGAGATATTAACTCTAAATAAGGGTTCTACTAGGAAGTATTTATTACAATGAGT